AGAGAGAATGAGAGATAGAAAGCACGAGAGGGAAGAGGGTCAGAGGGAGAAGCAGACTCCCCGCTGAGCAGGGAGCCCGATGCGGGACTCGATCCCGGGACTCCAGGATCATGACCTGAGCGGAAGGCAGTTGCTCAACCAACTGAGCCACCCAGGCGCCCAAAGTAACAGAGATTTTTGCTCCCACTCCTAAATTTTGCAACCTTTTCTTATACAATATTCCCCAGGAACCAAGGCAGTTTCTGCTTAAAACCCTTTTCCTTAAAACAAACTGCTTATATGGGAAGGTGCTAAAACCTTCATGGGATTCATATTACTTTTCATGATCTGAATGCCACTTTTTGCTCCATATTTATCTTTTTCTCTCTGTGCAAACTCTGCACATTAGTCCCAGTCAACTTCTTTTCAACTCTTTGAAAGTCCTGTACCTCTCTCAACTCCGGTCCTTCTCATGGGCTCTCCCCTCTATTTGGAATACTCACCCTGCCTCCTACCTCTCGACTATATCTAATTTTTACATATCCAAATTTCAACTTAAATATCCCTTGAAGCTTTCTCTGACACCCCCTGCGACTCCCATCACTGAGGTCGGGTTAAATGCCCCTCCTTTGTGTTCCTGATGAATAGTGTTCTTCTCCACCAAGCTTGTACTGCAATCATCTCTTTCCTCATTTATATCCACCAATAGACTGTCGGGTCCAAGACAGTAGGGACAGTGTCTACTTTACTCGTCATCCTCTTCTTGAGGCCTGCACTACATATGGTGCCTGGTAGGTGCTTAATGAATACTGGGAGAATTAATGAATGGCTGGACTGATTTTTCTGATTTATCAATTAAAATAATTCCACTGAAAGTTAACAGCTACTCTAAAAATCTTAAGTTAAAAAGGAATTTATTGGAGACATGTAAAGGGCTCATGAATTGATGGGAAGCTCTAATATCAGGGCTTGAAAAATAGCTAAAGACCCAGTTAAGTCCAGACAGCAAGAAAGCAGGAAAATGTTAGCAAGAATAGCTGAGGAAGGACACACCACCTTTGTCGTAGGGCACTGCTCTTTGGAGATAATCTCCCCACCGCTGTGAATTAAAATTCATCCCCTCTTTATCTTTGTGTCACTTTGGGTCAAGATTCACATTTCTGGAGAAAAAAAAAATGATGATTGGCTAAAGCTTTTGTGCCCATGCAGGCTGCTAGGGGATATGGCCCCTTCCACTTCCAGACTGGGAAGGAGGGCCTGCCTCTCAACAAGACAGCAGGGGAGTTCCCACAAACAGGAAGCAGGGATGGTTACGGTGCGGCCAAGCAAGTCCAGCTGTCCATTACAGCTGTCTAGAACTAAAGCAAAGTATGTGTTCCCATACAGAGCAGTTTGTTTTGGTGCCATATGTGTATTTAGGTCCCCTAGAATAGCTTAAAAAGTAATGAAACACAAGAATTGAGCATGATGTTTTCAGAGAAACATAATCTTCATTCTGTTGCCAAATGGAATATTCAGTAATTCAGATGTGTTTATGCTAGAAGTTTTACTTAATGAAGAGCTCAGTTAAGGATAGAAAGAGAAATTACAAAATAGACACTTAAAACATCAACTGAAAAGAACTTCAAGTATTTCGGGTTGCATTATACATAGGTTATTTCCTGCTACATTCTCGATTGTTGTACCTTTCTGTGGAAATAGGCATGAGCCTAGAAATCCAAAGGACGTTGAAAATCACACAACAGTTTAAAATGTCTGTCTGAATTTTGAGGAAAACTTGCAGTAATTAATATTTACCTTGAACCAACAAGATTTCAGGTTTATATAAACAAAGATGAAGGGGTTTTCTCAGATATGGAAGAAATGAACCATCTAAGAAAAAAAAAGTTTAGCATCAATCTGAAGAATCAGGGATGAAAAAGAAGTATATGTCAACACAAAACCCTGCACATCAGTGTTTATAGAAGCTTTATTCATAATTTCCAAAATTTGGAAGCAACCAAGATATCCTTCAGTAAGTGAATGGACAAACCAACTGTGGTACATCCATACACTAGAATATTACTGAGCGATGAAAGGAATTGAGCTATCAAGCCACAAAAGACATGGAGGAAACTCAGGTGCATACCACTAAGTGAAAGAAGCCAATGTGAAAAGGCTGCTTTAGGGCGCCTGGGTGGCTCAGTCAAATAAGAGATTGCCTTTGGCTCAGGTCCTGATTGTGGGGTCCTGGGATCAAGCCCCACATCAGGCTCTCTGCTCAGCAGGGAGTCTCCCTCTCCCTCTGTGCACTCTCTCTCTCTCTCCAATAAATAAATAATCTTTAAAAAAGAAATAAAAAGTTACCTACTGTAGGATTCTAACTCTACAACATTCTGGGAAAGGCAAAACTAGAGATAGTAAAAAGATCAGTGGTTCTTGGGGAAGGGTGGGGTGTATGTAGGTGGAACAAGGAATATTTTTAAGGAAGTGAACTGTTCTGTATGATACTGTAAAGGTAGATATGTGTCATTATACATTTGTCAAAATCCATAGAATTTACAACACAGAGTGAACTCAATGTAAACCATGAACTTCAGTTAATAACAATGAATCCATACTGACTCGCTAATTGTAATGAACATAACACAGTAATGCCAGATTTTAATAGAAGAAACTAGAGGGTGAGGAGTATATGGGAACTCTCTGTCTTGCTAAATTTTTCTTTTTTTTTAAGATTTTATTTATGCATTTGAGACAAGAGATACAGAGAAAGAGAGAGCATGAGCAGGGAGAGAGGCAGAGGGAGAGGGAGAAGCAGGCTCCCCGCTGAGCCAGGAGCCCAATGTGGGGCTCGATTCCAGGACCCTGGGATCATGACCTGAGCTGAAGGCAGACACCCAGTCATCTGAGCCAACCAGGCACCCCTGTCTTACTCAATTTTTCTGCTCAAAAAAGTAAAGTCTATTTTTTAAAAAGAGAGAGGCATATACAAGTGTAACTTCGAAATACTATAAATGTCTTAGCTACATTTATCATAGTATCTATCATAATACTAAAATTGATAATAAAATTGATTGGTATTTTCTTCACAAGTGGCAGGTGAAACATGCTGAGGAATAAGAATGAAATAGATGGACATAAACACACAAAGTATTTACTGATGGTGTTAGCCAACCCCCCAGATGAACCCCAATGATCCTCACGTCCTTTTTATTGTGGTTTTAAGCCCCTAAATTTTGCAGTATTTGTTATGCAACAATAGATAACTAATACAATGCATTTCAACTAGGATTAAATCAATGGATCCACATCACAAAGTAAAAATCCTAAGAACACATGGACAACTCTGGAACTGTAGGGTATAGGAAGTATTACAGAGGGAAAGAAAGAGGGGGCAGAATCAGAATGATCTCAAGGAGTCTAGGGGACAGACCAGCTGTGAAAGAGAATAGTTGCCAGTCCGGTGATGACACCTGGAGGTTGGGGAGGACAGGAGAATGCCTTTCTAGAGAACTGCCAAGAAAGGATAAAGGTTGCTAGGAAGGGGTTGGTACAGTAGAGAAAAGCTCTTCCTTCTGGCATGTGAGAAGTTTCCATCATAAAAACCAGCCCTTGACCTGTACTCTCAAGGGAGTCTTATCAGTTGAGAACGCCTTCTTCTATGGACTCTGAAAAACAAACTGAGGGTTCTAGAGGGGAGGGGCGTTGGGGGATGGGTTAGCCCGGTGATGGGTATTAAGGAGGGCACGGATTGAATGGAGCCCTGGGTGTTATACGCAGACAATGAATCATGGATCACCACATCAAAAACTAATGATGTAATGAATGTTGAATAACAACATAATACAATAAAATTTAAAAAAAGAAGAGAATCTCCTTCTTTGTGTACAAATCATCCAGTCTTACTGGTACCCCCTTTTTTTAAAAAAAAGAAGAAATCAACTTTATTGTAAAATCAATTTAGGTATGATATAGTGGCAGATGTACAAGGCATGTCACCACCACACAAAGAATAAATAGTCTTCATTCACAAAAACAAAAAGTTTCCTCGTGCCCCTTTGCAATCAATCCCCACTGCCACCACCACCCCACGCCAGACAAGTTTTCATGTTCTAGAATTTCTGATGAATTGTATCATAAAGTATGCAGTACTGGCTTCTCTTGCTGTATGTAATTGAGATTTGTCATGTTGTAGCTTTTATCAGGAACTCCTTTCTTCCTATTGCGGAGTAAGTACTACATCATATGGATGTACCACATTGTTGTTGTTTTTAAGATTTTCTATTTATTTATTCAAGAGAGTGTGTGAACGAGAGAGAGACAGCAGGAGTGTGGAGAGAGGCAGAGGAAGAGGGAGAAGAAGACTCCCCGCTGAGCAGGGAGCCCAATGCGAGGCTCGATCCCAGGACCCTGGGATCATGACCTGAGCCGAAGGCAGACGCTTAACCGACTCAGCCACCCCTGCGCCCCTGTTTATCCATTCACCTGTGGTTGGACATTCAGGTTGTTTCCATTTGATAGCTATTATGTATAAAACTATTAAATTCACGTATCCACTATTAGAGTCTCATATAGAATGGTTTCACAGCCCTAAAAAAATCTCCTGTGATTCACCTATTTAACCCTCTCCTGTTCCCCTCAAGCCTCTGGCCACTCACTGATCTTTTTAACATTGCTCTAGTTTACCTTTTCCATAATGTAATTGTAATTGTCATTATACAAGTAGTCTTTTCAGACTGGCATTTTTTCACTTAGCAGTATGTATTTAAGATTCATTCATGTCTTTTTGTGGTTTGATAGCTAATTTCTTTTCATCACTGAAAAATATTCCAGTGTATGGATGCGCCACAATTTGCTTATCTATTCACCTATCAAAGGATATCTTTGTTGCTTCCAATTTTGAGTGATTATGAATAAAGCTGAGATCACAATTTTTGTGCAGAGTTCTGTGTAAACATAATGTTTCAGATCAATTGAGTAAAAACCTAGGAGTGCAATTGCTCGATCATATAATAATATTATGTCTGAACTATTTTTAGCTTTGTAAGAAACTGCCAAAATGTTTGTACCGTTTTCCATTTTCAACTGGCAATGAATGAGTTCCTGTTCTCCACATGCTCACCAGCAACAGGTATTGTCAGTTTTTGAATTTTAGCAATTCTAACAGGTATATAGTAGTATCTGATTGTAGTTTTAATTTGAAGATCCCTTATGTCAAATGCTATTGAGCATTTTTCATACGCTTATTTGCCATCTGTATATCTTCTTTGATGTGTGTGGGGAGATTTTTGTTTTGTTTTGTTTTTTAGATCTAAAGCAACTTTTTACAATTTGGGTTATTTTCTTATTGTTGAGCTTTAAGCATTCTTTGTATATTTTTCATACAAGTCTTTTATCAGATATGTGTTTTCCAAATATTTTTCCGCCTGTCTGAGGCTTGGTTTCGATTGTCTTCCCAGGACAGATGTTTTTAATTTTTATAAAGTACAACTTACCAAATTTTTCGTTCATAGGTCATGCTTTCGGTGTATCTAAAAATTCATCACCAAACCCAAGGTCAAATATATTTTCTCCTATGTTCCAACTGAAAGTTTTACAGTTCTGCATTTTAACATTTGGTCAGTGATTGCTTTATAATTTTCATGAAAGGTATTTAAAATGTTTTTTTAATACTTCACTTTCTTGTCCACAATAGCCAAACTGTGGAAAGAGCCAAAATGTCCATCGACAGATGAATGGATAAAAGAAGATGTGGTATATATACACAATGGAATATTATGCAGCCATCAAAAGGAATGAGATCTTGCCATTTGCAATGACGTGGATGGAACTGGAGGGTGTTATGCTGAGCGAAATAAGTCAATCAGAGAAAGACATCTCTCATATGACCTCACTGATATGAGGAATTCTTAATCTCAGGAAACAAACTGAGGGTTGCTGGAGTGGTGGGGGGTGGGAGGGCTGGGGTGGCTGGGTGATAGACATTGGGGAGGGTATGTGCTATGGTGAGCGCTGTGAATTGTGCAAGACTGTTGAATCACAGATCTGTACCTCTGAAACAAATAATGCAATATATGTTAAGAAAAAAAAGAAGAAGATAGCAGGAGGGGAAGAATGAAGGGGGGTAAATTGGAGTGGGAGACGAACCATGAGAGATGATGGACTCTGAAAAACAAACTGAGGGTTCTAGAGGGGAGGAGGGTGGGGGGATGGGTTAACCTGGTGATGGGTATTAAAGAGGACACGTTCTGCGTGGAGCACTGGGTGTTATGCACAAGCAATGAATCATGGAACACTACATCAAAAACTAATGATGTAATGTATGGTGATTAACATAACAATAAAAAAATTAAAAAATAAATAAAAATAAAAGCACTCAAAAAATACTTCACTTTCTTCAGTTTATTGCTAATATTTGGATTACAGCTGATTTTTGTATATTGGCCTGCTATTCTTTTAGCTTGCTAAATTCACATATTAGTTCTATTAAGTTTTTTGTAGATTCTTTAGGATTTTCCACAAATATGATTATGCTATCACTAATAAAGTGTTTTACTTCTTCCTTTTCAATCTGCATTGCTTTTTATTGCCTTTTCTTATGTTTTTGATAGGCTTGGACCTCTAGTGTTGAGTAGAAGTGGTGAGAGCCAAATCCTTACCTTGTTCCCAATCTTAGGGAAAGATCATTCAGTCTTTCACTATTAAGTTGTAACGTTAGTTGTATATTTTTCACAGATATTCTTTATACGTTGGATGAAGCTCCATTTTAATCCTGAGTTGCTACATGTTTTTATCATTAATGAGTGCAACTTTTCTCAATGCTTTTTCTGCATCTATTGACAGAAAAATGTGCTTTTTATCATTAATTTCACTAACATCATGAAATACACTGATGAGATAATCATATACTTTTTCTTTTTTAGTCTCTTAATACAGTGAATTGCATCAGTTGCTCTTCAAATGGTAAGCCAACCTTGCATTCCTTGAATAAACCCTGTTTGGTCAGCATATATTACCATTTTTACATACCGTTATTTGACTTGCTAGTATTTTGTTAAGGAATTTTGCACTTAAGTAAATGAGGGATATTGGTCTATAAACTTTTTTAATGTCTTTTTAGGTTTTGGTATCATATATACACTAGCTTCTTTTTTTAAAAAAAAGATATTATTTACTTATTTATTTGACAGAGAGAGACAGCAAGAGAGGGAACACAAGCAGGGGGAGTGGGAGATGGAGAAGCAGACTTCCTGCTGAGCAGGGAGCCCAACACGGAGCTCGATCCTGGGACCCTGGGATCACGACCTGAGCCCAAGGCAGACACTTAATGACTGAGACACCCAGGTGCCCCTACACTAGCTTCTTAAAATGAGGGGAATTAATCCTTCATTCTCCATTTTGGGAACTTGGATTATTTTTTTCCTTAAATGTTTGATAGAATTGACTAGTGAAGCCATCTGGGACTAGAGCTTTTTTGTGGGAAGTTTTTTAATTACAAATTCAATTTCTTTAATAGTTATTAAGTCCTTGCCAGTTTTGGTTATTTTTGTCCTTAAAGGAATTTGTCCATTTCATCTGAGTTATAGGATTTATTGACATAAAGTTCTTCATAGTATCACGTTATTCTCTTTCAGTGTGTGTTGTGATTGCCCCTCTTTCAACCCTATTATTTTTAACTTATATTGTCTCTATTTTTTTATCTGTTTAGCTAGTAGCTTATTATTTTTATTGATACTTTATAAAGACCCAGCTTTTGGTTATTCATATTTGTTTATCCATTTTCTATTTCATTGACTTCTACTCTATACTATTTCTTTCCTTCTACTTACATTGGATTTAATTTACTCCTTTTTTACTAACTTCTTGAGATGAAGCATGGATTATTGATTTTAGACCTCATTTTAAAAAATATAAGCATTAAAAACTATACATTTCCCCCTAAGCTCTGTTTTAGCTGCATCAACAAATTTTGATATGTTGTGATTTTGTTATCAGTTGGTTCAAAACATTTTAAAATTCCTTTTGTGATTTATTTTTTAATCCAGAAATTAATGACAAATGTGTTGATTACCCAGATAATTAGAATCTTCTCATGTATCTTTCAGCTACTGGTTTCTAATTTAGTTCTGTTATAGTCAGAGGACCTACTTACTATGATTTCAGTACATCTAAATTTATCAAAACTTGTTTTGTGGTCCAATATATGACCTATTTTACTAATTATTCTAAGTCAGAAAGAATATGTATTCTTCTGTTGTTGGGTATAGTGTTCTATGATAAGGAAAAAGTGTTCTTTAAATGTCAGTGGGTCAATGTGACTTAGAGGTCTTGTATATTCTTACAGATTCCCTACTTAAACTATCAGTTATGGAACTGAGTGGAATTTTTCCACTGCAATTGTGGATTGTTCTATTTCTCCTTTAATTCTATCAATTTGTGCTTTGTGTATTTTGAAATGCTGTTATTAGCTGCATATACATTTAGAAATTGTATCATCCTGATGAATTTAACCTCCACCCTTTCTCATACTGAAATGTCCCTCTTTATATCTGGCATATTCATTGTTCTGATATTTACTTTCTTTGTACTGGAGCCATTCCAGCTCTCTCATGATTTTTTTTCATGTTTTATCTTTTTCTATCCTTTTAACCTATATGTGTCTTTATATTTAAAGCAAGTTTCTTCAAATAACGCAACATATTTTAAGAAAAAAGGAAAAGAAGAAGATAACAGGAGAGGAAGAAAAGGGGAGTATGTCAGAGGGGGAGACGAACCATGAGAGATGATGGACTCTGAAAAACAAACTGAGGGTTCTAGAGGGGAGGGGGGTGGGGGGATGGGTTAGCCTGGTGATGGGTATTGAGGAGGGCACGTTTTGCATGGTGCACTGGGTGTTATGAACAAACAATGAATCATGGAACACTGCATCAAAAACTAATGATGTAATATATGGTGATTAACATAACAATAAAAAAATTAAAAAAATAAAAATAAAAATAAAAATAAAGCAAGTTTCTTGTATATAGAATCTATTTGGGTCTTGCTTTTTTTTTTAAATTCAGTTCAACAATCCCTACTTTTTAATTAGAGTGGTCAGTCTATTTCTATTTCAAGTATTCCATTTTATCTCCATTATTTACTTGTTAACTGTACCTCTTTTGTGTGTGTGTGTTCTTGCTCTAGGGCTTGCAGTATGCACCTTTAACTTAGCAGAAGCTACCTTCAAATATTATACTACTTCAAGTTTAGTGTACGAACCTTACCAGAAAGGACACCTGGGTGGCTCAGTTGGTTAAGCATCCAACTCCTGATTTTTGCTCAGGTCATGATCTCAGGGTCCTGGGACCAAGCCCCACCTCGGGCTCTGTACTCTGCGTGGAGTCTGCTTATCCCTCTCCCTCTGCTCTTTACCTGCTGCCCCTGCTCGCATGTGCATGCACTCTCTTAAATAAGTAAAAAAAAATTTTTTTAAAGAACCTTATCACAATATATTTCCATTTCCCCCTCCCATCCTTTTTTTGTCAAGATTTTAATTCTACATATATTACAGAACCCAAATTGTTTCTTTTGCTGTAAACAATCAACATTCTTAAAAGAAATTAAAATTATAAAGGATCTGTTGTAATTACCCATATATTTATCATTTCTGAAGCTTGTCACTCCTTTGTGTAGATCCAAGATTATTTGATATCATTTCCTTCAGCCTGAACAATATTGTTTACCCTTTCTTGTAGTATAGGTCAGCAAACAACAAATTCATTTAGCTTTGTTTGTCTGAAAGTTTTGATTTTTTTTCTTTATTTTGAAAGACATTTTTTTTTAAATACAGAATTCTAGGTTAACAGTCTTCTTCTTTCACCATTTTGAAAACTGTTTCACTGTCTTCTGCCTTACACAGTTTCAAGTGAGAGGTCTGTGATAATTTTTTCTTTTTTTCTGGCTACTTTACTAGTGTTTTCAGGGTGCCTGGGTAGCTCAGTTGGTTAAGCTTCTGCCTTTAGCTCAGGTCATAATCCCAGGTCCTGGGATTGAGCCCTACGTCTGATTCCCTGCTCAGTGGGGAGTCTGCTTTTCCCTCTCCCTCTGCCCCTCCCCCTCCTTATGCTCTCTTTCTCTCCCTTTCTCTCAAATAAGTAAATAAAATTTTTAAAAAACTAAGTGTTCTCTTTGTCACTGGTCTTAACAATTTAATTATTATGTGCTTTGCAATGGTTCTCTTTGTGTTTTCTTGCTCAAGTTTCATTTATCTTTTTGGATCTATGGATTTTTAGTAATTGTAATCATATTTGGAAATTTTTTTACCATTACTTCAGATATTTTCTCCACATCTTTCTTCTCCTTTGGGACCTCAATATGTTTGGCCTCTTGAAATTGTCTCATAGGTCATTGAGGGTCCATTAATTGTTTTTCAGTTTTTTCCTCTATCTTTTTCCGTACACATGATGTCTATTGCTGTGTCTTCAAATTCACTGATCTTTCCATCTGCAGTATCTAAACTGCTATTAAGTTCATCTAGTGAAATTTTCAATTCACCTATTCTGTTTTTTATTACCTCTGGAAGTACCCATTTAGTTCTTTTTATACATTCCATTCTTTATTATTTTTCTTCTCCTTTAAACATTTGAACATATTTATAATAGCTGTTTTCAATTCCTTGCCTGTTAATTCCATCAC